CGTAACGCAAAATCCTCTTTGTCAAATCAATATGAATAGATCGTTCACCTTTTATATATTTCTTTCCTCCATCTGAACCTGCTACTATATTCTTTCCTACTTGTGAATACTCCATAACTTTCTTCTTGATTTCAACAAGAACTCCTTAAGTTTAGCTCCCAACTCCATCAACTAGCCACTACAGTTTGATTCATTCTTTGACTCCTCACTTTTAACAATTCTTTCCAATCATCTCTCTAATGAAATTAAATACTTAACATAAAACAACTTAACCGATGAAGCTACATTTAGAACTAATCCATATTTTTAGCAACTAAATACAATAACTCACTTTCCGAAATAACATTATATCCACAATTCTCTCTTACGATAAAGAAAAATATAAAAATATCTCACAGACTGTCCATCTGCGAGGAAAGATTGTCCATTTGCAAGGAATGGACGAAGAGACCAAAAGCAACCTTGGGAACAAATCTCTTTCAAAACAAGCCTAGAAACTTGTTAAACCAGAACCTAAGCTTATCAGGTTCAGATTTTAAAAATAACCCTTGGATAAAGGGCTCGAGTTTTTCCAGGGATTTAGCGCAATACAATGAAGACTTATCGACAGCTCTTATCGACCACCTTGCCATAGATTTCAAATTTAAAACCTAGAAACAAATAGTTCTCCGGCGGTGGTATTTGTTAAAGAATACGATTGTTCGACAATGAATGGTGGTCGCCTGTGATTAGTTTGATGGTTGTTGCACTGCGATTACAAACTTATATAAACTAGGTGTTTCAATCTTAAACAAATATAAATTATTAAATTAATTATAATTTATAATAAAAAATATGGTATAATTATATTTCTATTAAAATTAAACTAAATTATAATAAAATATTAATTATGGATAGATCTTTATAAGTTTTAATATTTGTTCAACATCGTCCACGAGATATCTGCTGGTTTGCAATCTCACTTGCTTTTGCTTTGAATATCTTATTGTTTTCCTGTTATTTGCATCTTTCTTTATGGTATTCTTTATTATGTTTTTTACATAATTGTTTTTCACTTTGATACTTTTTACTTTGCTTCTTTATTTTGGTTTCACCAGATCTATATTGCTCTGCATTTAGGTAAGACTTTACATGATTCTTTATTCCTCCCGCTTTTGCTTTGCTTTGTTCTTTTATTCCTTTGGATTTTTCTCTATTTTTAACTCCTCGCCATTAGATCTGAGTAAAAACACTTCAATTTTAGCTGAAGAACCTGCGTTGTGATCTATATCCAAGCACGATCTTTTCTCTTTGTATAATTCTTATACCTAAGCTTATCTGCCTGATTCTTGTTCTTTGTAAGTGATTTTATTGGAAAAATGGGTTTTTATTTTATTTTTTGAAATTTTGGTGTAACTATGTTTTGGGTTTGGTTGCATTGTTATCTGTTTTGTAGCTAAGAAAACGTGAAGGAAGTGGGAAGGAAAAAAGAGCTCCCATATTTTCTTTGAATGTAGGCACATTAAATGCTAAGCTACTGGAGCTGACCGACGTACTTAGTAATAGGAAAATAGATTTTGCATGTATTCAGGAGACTACGTAGAAAGGGCTTGCGCCAGAGAGTGTAATGGGTACAGGTTGTGGTATTCAGGTGTAAATGACGCTAGAAATGGGGTGGGTATCTTGGTATCCTCTAGGCTCAAGGAAAATGTAGTTGAAGTTTGTAGATACCGGGATAGGATCATGATGATTAAGGTTATTATAGAAGAGGAAGTGGTGAATGTCCTTTCAGTGTACGCCCTACACGTTGGCCTAGGGGAAGGGGAGAAACATTGCTTCTGGGATCAGTTAGATGATGTACTTAGGAGCATTCCGGAGGACCAAAGAGTTTTCATAGGGGGAGACTTCAATGGCCATATAGGTAGTGCAACCGATAGGTATGATGGTATTCATGGGGGTTTCAGTTTTGGTAGTAGGAATGAGGAGGGGCGTACGTTGCTTGAATTTGCTACTGCATACGATATGGTGTCACTAACTCGTTCTTTAATAAGAGAGATGTGAACTTGATTATGTTCCATAGCGGGGGACATTGTACCCAAATCGACTACATCCTAGTTCGAAATCGGGATCGATGGGCTTGCATTGACTGTAAGGTGTTCCCGGAAGAGGCATGTACATCACAACACAGATTTTTGGTTTTGGTGTTCCGTGTTTGCCATAAGCAGAGCACTCATAGGAGGGCTAAACTTGGTAAACCTAGGATCCTTTGGAAGAACTTACATGGAGTGACAACTGATGACTTTAGGAGTAAGGTTTTGTCTAATACAGGTTTTGGAACTACAAACTCAAATAATGCAAATATGTTATGGAAAAATATGGCAAATACCCTCAAAGAGGTGGGTAAAAACACCATTGGGTTGTCGTCAGGAAAGGTCAAGGAACATAAAGAATCATGGTGGTGGAACGACGAAGTCCAAACTAAGGTGAAAACAAAGCAAATTTGCTTCAAGGAGCTTCTACAATGCAATGACGACGAAGAAAGATCGAGAGCTAAACAAAGATACAAGGAGGCAAAGCGGGAAGCCAAGAAAACAGTGGCTAAAGCAAAGGATAAGACATACGAGGAAATGTACAAGAGATTAGACACCAAGGAAGGACAAAACGACATCTTCAGGCTTGCAAAATCCAGGGAAAATAGGAAAAATGATCTAGGTAGCATTAGGTTTATTAAGGACAACATTGGTGTTCTTTTAGTGAAAGATCATGATATTAAGATGGTTTGGGGTAGTTACTTCTTTGGCTTATTTAATGACGGTGCCTCTCCCTGTAGAGATAGTATCGTTGATGGGTCAACCGACCATCATACTATGACAATTGACTGCCCTACAAGTAGGATTGGGTTTGAGAAAGTCAAAATGGCTCTTAGAAAGATAGGGATGGAAAAAGCTGTCGGTCCAGATCAAATTCCTATCACTATGTGGTTGGCCCTAGGAGAAGAGGGAGTTAAGTGGTTGACCAATATCTTTACTATTATTTTAGAGACTGCCAAGATGCCAGAGGAGTGGAGAGAGTCTACGGTGATACCAATATATAAGAATAAAGGAGACCCCAACGTTATGGCAACTACAGAGGTATTAAAGTACTCAGCCATACCACGAATCTATGGGAAAGGGTGATAGAGGCTAGGTTAAGACAAATTACTAGGGTTTCGGAAAACCAATTTGGCTTTATGCCAGGCAGGTATACTACAGAGGTGATTCATCTACTTCGATGGCTTGTGGAGAAATATAGGGAAAAATAGAGATCTTCACATGGGGTTCATTAACCTTGAGAAGGCGTATGATAGCGTGCCCCGCGATACGATTTGGAAGACCTTGGAAACGAGACGAATCCTAACTGCTTATATCCGGGCGATTAGATCTACTACATACGTCAGGACTACAGTTGGCGACACCGAGGCATTTCCGGTGGAAATCGGACTCCACCAGGGGTAGGCTCTTAGCCCTTATATATTCGCCTTGATTATGGACGACATCTATTGTGCGACACCAGATGGTGTTCCATGGTGTATCTTTTCGCTGACGACATTGTCCTAGTTGCTGAAACAAAAACTGAGTTGAATAGTAGACTGGCTACCTCGAAGATTGCTTTGGAAGAAAAAGGGTCTAAGGATCAATATTGAAAAGACAAAGTATTTATGTTCAAACTTCAATGGGAACCAAGTAGATGTATGCATAGAAGGACAAGTTCTTCCCTCAAAGGATTGTTTCAAGTACCTAGGGTCTATGATACATAAAGATGGAGGTGTAGATGATGACGTTACACACCGTATAAAGGCTGGATGACTAAAGTGGAGGGCTGCTACTGGAGTTTTGTGTGACAAGAAGGTGCCTCTAAAACTTAAGGGAAAATTTTATAGAATAGCAATAAGACCATCGCTGTTGTATGGATCAGAATGTTGGGCAATCAAGAAGGATCACATAAGGAGGATGAAGGCCGCTGAAATAAGAATGCTTCGATGGGCATGTGGTAGGGACTCTATGGGACATGACACCAAACTCTGCCATTAGGATGTCCTTGGGGGTGGTGCCTGTATCCAAAAAATTGAGGGAGGGAAGACTACGGTGGTTTGGGCATGTCCTTAGGCGGCAACCGTCAAATGTGGTCAGGAGGGTAGAGTCGATTACAGTCGACGGTCCCAGAAGGAGAGGATGACCAAGGTGGAAGTGGGAAGACTGCTTGAGATATGATTTGAAGGATTTAGCCCTTACCGAGGGCATGACCTCTGATAGGAAAGTATGGAGACTTAATACCAGGGTAGCCGAGTAGTGTGGGTCACAACCTTACGGTGTAACATCTCTGTCTTCTTTTTAATGCCTTTGTAGTAATTATCATGACTTCTATTTTTTATACATTTTTGTCATTGGAATTTATGAAGGCTCAGAACTAGGGTAGTGTTGCCTTAGTGTAGGTTTTAACCCATTTGACTTTATTCCTTCTCGTAGCTTGCTATCGTTGACTTTTGTGTATCATTCTCTTTAGGTTTCTTCTTTTTAAATTTAGCCGGGTCTTACGTTTCTGTCTATATGCAGAGATTTTTACGCAGGGATTACTTTCCATTTAAGACGCTCATATGAAGACTGCATATGAAGAATGTTCAACTATGTATTTATTTATACATGAATTGCATTTTATCTTTATTTTTAATTTTTCTGACTGCCGGAGGTCTTACACGGAAACTGCTCTCAATCTTGCGTTAGGACCAGCCTACTACTCTACCTCCCCTTACCCATAACATATGGAAATATGATTTTGTTGTTGTTGTATTAATAAGAATAATTAATTAAAGTCCGATATGAGTTGGGAAAAAACTCAAAAAGCATACGTCAGCATTTTTCTCAATAAATACAAGTGGACAGCTAAACTGAAAAAGCAGAGATTTTCATTCACTTGATTGCGAGCGAGCTCACAAAATCTTCTGTATACGCACTACACGGTAACCTTACCCCACCCAAATATTTGTCTTGTTTTCTCGCCTAACTTTCGTCTCCTTCAAATTTCAAAACCCTAAACAATCTCGTATACGGAGATCTCCATCTCGGGGGAAAGACATATCTTATCGCAGGTAATTCAAACCCTAAATCAGTGCATCTTTCGCTTTATTATTTAAACCCAAAGGACTTCTCTAGAAAATTCCTTTTGTCTGTCTTCTGTATTTTTCAGGGAAGAGAAAGAGAACATGAGTAGCCGTTCTAGCAGGACTCTTTATGTTGGAAATCTTCCTGGTGATGTTCGCGAGAGGGAAGTGGAGGATTTATTTTACAAGGTTATACTTTCGAAAATTTCATCGTTCCTGTTATTATTAATTTTTTGCAATCATATAATCAGGTCTTCATTGTTTTAGGCGGAAAATTTTCTTCTCAGAAAATACGTTAATTTTGATGTTTGACTGTGAAGTACTTGTTTGGAGCAGATTAGGAGCAAACAATTTGTCTTATGTGGAACTTTGAACTTTAAGATGCAAAATTTGAGGATTTATGGTTTGAATTCTGTACTTAGGATTATATGTTTAGGGAACATTGTGAAGACTGCAAGTAAAGATGACGAGTAATCAACAAAAAGTTGTGTTACCAATATGTAAGGAAAACCCAAATGTAGTTATACTTCTGGTACTATACTTCTGGTCGTCTTTTACTTGCATGCTTCTTTGAGTATATTTGTGAAAAAAGTTGTTTCTTTTGAATTTATGGTGTGGAACCGCTGTTATTTCTTTTATTGAGTTTGGCTTGCTTGATATGGGTTTCAGTGAATCTCATGATATGCCTTCCTTAGATTAGTAAGTTTTCTGTAAGCTTAAAATCTTATATTTTTGTTTTTTTGCAGTATGGCCCAATAGCCCATATTGACTTGAAGATTCCACCAAGACCTCCTGGTTATGCTTTTGTTGAGGTGAGTTAAGGTGATGATCTTTTGGTGCGGTGGCTGCTAGGGTGGGGGTTGTTTTTTTTGGGATTTTGTTTCTTTTCTTGATGTTACATTTTTCCTAGTTTGAAGAGGCTCGAGATGCTGAAGATGCAATTCGTGGTCGTGATGGCTATGATTTTGGAGGACAGCGTTTGCGGGTCATTTCCTTTTCTTGCATGTTTAGGTTTTATTTTGCATCTAGTCGCTGTGTCTTGAACTTTGCTTTATAAGCTCTCTTCTCATCTTATTAATTAATTGCAGGTTGAACTTGCACATGGCGGTCGTGACCGTTCGTCCTCAGATCGTCACAGCAGTTATGGTGGGGGGCGTGGACGTGGACCATCCAAACGTTCTGAATTTCGTGGTTTGTTATCTTTTTAAGTCCCTTTATCCTTGTGCTATATATTTTAGGCTACTTATGAATTTTTTTCAATGGATTGCTATGATGTGCAGTGTTAGTCACTGGGTTGCCATCTTCTGCTTCATGGCAGGATCTTAAGGTAAAAGCTGATTTTGCTAAAATTTTCAGCCACCAAATCCAATAAAAGGAGTAACCCATGATAGAGGATATTGAAACAAATATTTATTGTGGTGTATTAAACTCAGGATCACATGCGTCGAGCTGGGGATGTTTGTTTCTCCCAAGTTTTTCGCGATGGTGGTGGTAAGACACTATGTTTGATATTCATGGTTGGCTGATCCTTTAGCTTTTATGTGTAATTTTATATAAATTAGTCTTTTCTGTTTTCTTATATGAAAATTAAACCGCTTAATAACAGTAGGCTTACTGATGAAGTTTTTTTTTAATCAGGGACATCGGGGATTGTGGATTACACCAACTACGATGACATGAAGTATGCTGTAAGTTACCTTTCCTTGTTTAACTCTTGTTCTGCATGGAATACCTTGTCATAATTTAGTTAATGTCACTGTGTAATTATGATCATGTATAACATTTCGTCATCTCCTTTTGCAGATCAAGAAACTGGATGACTCTGAATTTCGGAATGCCTTTTCTCGGGCTTATGTTCGGGTATATGATCTCAACTTAGTCTTTGAGAAACTGAAGGAATATTATTCAATTTTCCAACCAACATATACGATTCTAAGGCTTAGTTTACTTGTTTACTCTTTTGATGCTATTTCTCCTTTTTTAACTATTATTATTTTGGAAAAAGGTCTAGATAGCCATCAAACTATTCTAAAAAATCAATTAAGCCCCTTGCAACTTTTTGCACTCAATTGAGTCCTCCAACTGGCAAAATTCATCAATTAAGCGCTTTAACCATTAAGTTTAAAGGTTGACTGTTAAGTGTCATTAACATTGATGATGTGGCCTTTTTCTCAGTCTGAGACACCTGGTAAGTGACATGTGTAATAAAAGCTGATGTGGGCAATTTTGGAATAGTTCTTGACCTTTTTCCTATTATTTTCCAGTTTTCTTACTAAAGCTTTTTACCTTTAGGTTAAGGAATATGATTCTAAGAGAGATTCCTCTAGAAGCCTTAGCCGTGGTCGTTCTGTCTCAAGAAGCCGCAGTCGCAGCCGCTCTCGTGGTCGGAGCAAGAGCCGCAGGTTTTTCCTTATGCTTTGGGATGTGAAATTTTATTTATGGCTTAAAAGTTACTTGTTAACCTTGAAATTGTTATGCAGCAAATCTCCTACAACCAAACCTTCACGCAAGTCTCCTGAAAAGTCAAGATCGAGGTCTCCTCGATCTCGCTCTGCATCAAGGTCTCGCTCTTTGTCAGGGTACACTTGGTTTCCCCCTTCCCATTGAACATGCTTTTTTCCTGCACTTTATTGCTGTATCAAGGATAATGGTATCTGGTATTGTTCCTGGTTGTTATTAGTTTTACTTTAATTTCCTCTACTTGCCCGTGGTCTTGTCCTCATCGATAATGTGTCAGACTTAGGCCTTGCAGTTGACTTTTGTCTGCATTTGAAGAATCACTTTAAAATGAATCATATGTCTTAGAAAAGTATAGGGTTTGAAAATTCAAGGTTTTGGTACTTTTGGATCTTGAAATGAATATGGAGATTGCAATGCATTAACTGCAGCTTCTTTGGGAAGCCGAAGAGCTGGACTAACTCATTGTGAAGAATGAATATTTAGTGTGATAACATGATGGAATTTTTTGGTTCACCGTATGCATTTTGGAATCAACTTCATTTGGTTGTCAACTTGAATCCCAGCTATTGAACTACATATTGTTTCTTTTGTCATGAAATTGCCATGTTTGTCTTTTAGATACGGATATTTGCAGCAATCTGGGGATTGGATTTTGGGATCTTGTGGGGGATATGTTTCAAATTGCATGCAACTCGTATGGTTGCAGGTATGCTGTTTTTTAGATGGACAGCTTAAAAACCTTCACTCCTGTACCTTGTCTAATTTACATAGCATCATAAATGTCCATGGGTGCTAGATTGGTAACAAAGGAGTCAATGGACTGCATAATAGAGCTGGATTTCTTTTCAAGGAATTGCAATAGTAGAGCTGGATTTCAGTGAAGTAAATGCACTGGGATTTCCAAGTAATCAGTTTTGAGCTATTTGCCAAGTTAATAGGACATGCTATGTGGGTTGACTATGGATTTCGGTAGCACTGGAACTTGCTCATTCTATATCCACTGGTGTCAAAATATTAAAATTTTAAATTTAAATTTTAAGGATTTCATTATGCTAGATTGGGTTTGATTCCTTATGATGTAGGCAGGTTTGTGGGTTGGTCTTATTCTTTGTTTCCTTATTTAACTGCTATAGATCTATGCATTTCTCCTTTTTTTTCCTTTTGAATGTGGTGATTCTGACGTGGAAGGGGCATCGAGGGCTCTTGGTTATAAAAGCTGTTAAAAAGGAACATGCTGAATTTTAAACTTGGGTTCTTTCTGGAACTTTTGCAGATCTCAATCAAGATCCAGATCTCCTTTGCCTTCTGTAAGTTCATTTTGCACATATAGTTGAGTCAAAAGTTCAAATAGGTTTCTGTTCTGTTCAACTGCGCAGTTTGTCAAGTCAAAAGTTCATAATCTAATCTGACCTTGGTTGCTATTCTCTCCTTTTTATTGGATATTTTGTTATATATTTTACATTTCTCTGAGCAGCGTGCAAAAGGAAGGAGCAGGAGTCCTAAGAGACGTAGTGTTAGCAGGAGTCCTGAAAGATGTAGTGCTAGCAGGAGTCCTAAAAAACGTAGCGCTAGCAGGGGTCCAAGTGGGAGTAGAAGCAGGAGTAGGAGCAAGAGTTTATCCAGGTCTGAGTCTTGATCTCTCTAATGTTGATTTCATTATATTGCCAAATAAACAAAAAAGAATGTTGATTTCATTGGTCAAGTAGGCTATAATATAGATTTGGTAATCTCTGACCAATTCTTTATCATCCATTTGTCTCATTTTTATTTGACAGGTAGGTTACCTTGCAGAGTTGGCTGATGGAGATCCTATGAAATTTTAGTTAAAGCAGTGGGGGAAAAAAACTCTTATTGAAAGTGTACCAATTATGCCGGATTACATACATGGCTAAAGTTTGCTTTTGTTTGAACCATTTTACTATTGTTCAACTCCATTGCTATTGTTTGGAACGGCTGAAGTATAAAATTTTCTCTAATGAGAACCATTTCCATTAGATAAAAAATGGGACTCAAGCTCCATCCAAAGTTGCCTTAATGAGGGCTACTGAGATGACAATTGTCAACTGCCAAAAGGTGGACGGTGGAGGACCATGATTCTCCTTTCGTCCGGTCTCTGTTGATTGATGATTCCATGGTGTGGCCATGGCTTCATGTCGTGCTCATGGATTAGACAAGAATTTATCATCTGTGTGGCAATGTTAAATCTTTCATCCCCGAGGACAATTCTTTAAGCATTTTTGGGAACATAACAAAAATGCCTTAAAATAATTGGCGAAAATCAGGTCCATTTAATCCTATAATTTTGAATCTAAATGTAATTGTAATTAGGGATAGAGTTTATAAGTAATTGAATTAGATGTAAGTTATGTTTTGGGTGGAATAAAGTCTGAAGTCATTCACCAACAATAAGTTGGTCTAGTGGTATAAGGTATTAGATTTTTTAAAGGAAAATCAAGGATTTATTATTTATGAATGAAATAAATTGGGTTGAGAAAGTTGATTCACCAATAAGTTGGATATACATGATTGACATAATGCAAACAAATGCCTCTAACGTTTGACAGTATATGCATTTTTGTCCAAATTGTTTTTTTGGAGTATTTGTCCCCCACAACGTTTAAATATGAGGCATAAGTCCCCCTCGTCAGATGAAAACCGACAATCAACTGACGTTCAATGGGTCCATCTAACTAAGTATTCACATGTGGATAATGATGATGACGTGATATTTTCACATCACTAAAATGTGCTGACGTGGAATTGACACATCAGTCTTTTTTAATTTAATTTTAATTAAAATTTTGTACCAATAAAAGAGCAACACGTGTTGCTCTCCTATTGGTGCGTGTTGGAAAGAATAAATAAAATATTGTTACTTCCGTAGAAGGGGACTTGATCCTAGGGCAAGGGCTTGAAATGGGATAGCCCTTGCCTCCAAGCTAAATATGCTACTTGGTTATGTATTGCAACAAAACCTTATTTAACCCATCATCCAACTATAAAACAGAAATGGGCGTGGAATGCTATACACCTCTGCGTTATCTGTTTATAATGCAATTACTAATGTTTAGAATTTATTAATTTTGGAATGCTAATATATATCTTTTGAAATATTTAAACGTTTAAAACTACAGGTTCGAAGGCAGCCTTCAGGTATCCAAGTAGGATTTTCCAAGGAGCTCGCGGGAGAAAAAAACTTTGAAGTAATCGACAACGCCTATTCTCTCGAACAGCGGTGGAGTTTGTGGAGAAATCAGGCTTGGTGCTGGTCCCATTTCTCCATTCAATTAATAATTACCTCTATAGTGTCTCCTATGTTGATCACTAAAGCATTTGGAAATGTCGGATATTTTGAAAGGTGGAATTTTTTGTTACCCTGGTTTGCAGCAATCCTTTTTAGGGTATTCATTTGATTTCACTCCAGTATTCTACAATATCAATAAGAGTGTCCAAAACATCATTCGACGCATTAAAACAGTTGGATTTTCTTGATTGAGATCTTTCATCGAACATATTGCCGAAAAGAGTAAGCAGCTTTCCAAAATGAACCGTCATCCGACGCCGTATACATTGTGGATCGATCTTTCTAAGCAAAGGGAAATAATAAGCCAAGTTAGGTTTCCCGGCGTCTTCCATGATATCCCAAAATGTTTGCCGGAATCCTCGAGCCTGAGATGAATTCGGGTCGACCAAATCCACTGAAAAAATGGTGTTGAACAGCAAATTAATCGTGGCATCAAAAGCAACTTGGCCGATGTTAATGGCATCACCTTTAGGGCAACTTTTGCGAACATTCTCAATTAGTTCTTCGGTCTTCACCCGACGGAAGTATTGGTTGGCATCGAGTTTTAGACTAGAGAAAAGATGGATAGCACAGATTTTGTGAAGAGTTCTCCAAAGTGGCGAAACGGGTATAAACGAGAGCCCGAATTCATTGAATCGGCAGGCTCGGACGACGGTTCGGTTACAGAAGATGAGGTCCTGTTCTTTCAAGATCGAATAGGTTGGCGAATATCGGCAGCCACCGTGGACCGGGTGGGAGCTTGGTTTCACTTTGTTTACTTCCGTTTCTAAACGAGCTTAAAGCTTGAAAGACGAACATGGTGACTAACTACAAGCATAGCAATGAACTTGTTAAGAAATCCACCTCTCTCACTCTGTACGTACACCAATGGTGAAACTGAAGTCAAAGTTTTATAGCCATGTGATGTGAGAAAACAAGAAGCAGCAAATAACAAAATCATCACGTAATCATCAATGCATGTGACCCTACGACTTATAGGAAAAGAAACAGTACCAACCTTCTGTTTGTTGGAAAACCACGACCATTTCTGTTTTATAGTCAAATAATGGTTTAAATAAGATTTTGTTTAATTACAATACAAAGTCATTCTTTTCAATACACATCAATAAGATAGTGACACATCATTATCGTTGTCCACCTGTGTGAATGCTTAGTTAGATGGACCCGTTGACCGCCAGTTGAGTCTTCAAATATTTTTGGAAAAAATTAATATGATTCTTGAATTATTTTTTGTACTCAATTTGACTTTTAAACTTAAGAAAAAATCTAATGTGACTAATGATGTTGTAGCCGTTCAAAATGTTTATATGTATATGGTGGTTGATGTAGTGGTTTACACTGGCTATTAACGTGATAAATGAGCTAAATATATTTTTCTAGTTGAGTTCAAGGGTCTATTTAGTTTTTTTAAATTCACAGACTTATTTAATCTTTTAAAAAATTATTTTACATTTTAAATATAAAAATATTGAAATATTTAAAAAAAAATTTAAAATTAAATAGAAAATACAAAAAATAGAAAAAATAATTACTAAAAAATAATATATATATATATATATATATATATATTAAAATAACTAAAAAGGCTATTAAAAAGTAAAAATATATTACAAGCTATATAATAATAAAATATAAATTATTTAAAAATAAATTTAGACAATTTTTAAATGTTGCTTTTGTATATTAGCTTATTATACTATGCGAAGGTTTTGTGAATATCCCTTATAATTGTTCGAAATATGATTAGATAGATGTATTGATATGAAAAAATTATTGTGATTCTTAATTATATTTAGATATAAAATTCGTAAATTTTGATTGATCTAATAAAAATACTTTGTATAAGCGTTGATAATAAAACTATATGTTCATGTATATATTATGTATAATATATACTTTTAAAACATATTTTAATTTTTTAACAATGAATAATTTATTATTTTATAACTTGTGATAGATTATAAAATTTTAATATAGTTTTTAATATTTTTAATATATATTTTAAATTTTTTTATATTTTTAATATCATGATGTTTTTATATTTTAAATTTTAAATTTAAAGTAATTTTTTCTAAAAAATTAAATGAACTCCTAAACTTTAAACAATCAATTTGACCCTTGAAATAAAAAAAATTAATTTAATTAATCTGCCACATTATTAATCACTATGGACAACCTTATTTGCCACTATGAACCGTCACGTCAGCATAGCAACAATGAATGACAGAGACTGTTAATCAAAGGGCCACATTGATTTTTTTTCTTGAGTTTGAGGGTCATATTAAATATAAAAATTATTCGAAATCCACATAAATGTTTTGAAAAAAAATTGAGAACTTTTTATACCATTAAACCTATTTTTTCTTTAGTGTTAATACTGCACTTGATATTTTTAAATCATAATATGCACTTTCAATTTATTTTAGCACAAAAGATAGTATATATTATAATTTAAAGAAATTTTTTATGGTAAACGCCGACACTGAAACACACCACTAATGCAACACATCAAAATACACCACTAACTTTTTTTTTAATATATTTTAAAAGTATGTGATACAAGCACGTTTTCAACTATAAAGGGAGTATTCTTGAACATCCTTATAATGCATTCACTTTATACTAGCCTTATTATATATACTATTATAATACATATCATGCTTAGGATATTAGTTATGAAGTTAAAGAATAACTAAGTATGAACACAACTTGCACATTGTTATTTTAATATGTTAAACATGATAGAATAGTTTTATAATCATATTAAGCATGATTATTATATATACATCAAGGCAACATACTTATAATGCATTTCGTTAGTTCATATGCATTCATATTAGCTCTTAAGCCTCATGCATAATCTTATACATATTATGAGATGATATAATTAGCTCATGACTTTCAAACTTAGCTCATATTACCATAAACAAACATTGCAGCAAGGTATTTAGCTCATATCAGCTCAATACCATGGAATTACCTTGTTTCCTTGCACATGTAGGTACATTGGAGCATGATGCACGTTGAGGTAGCTTGGTGAATGATTTGGACGTCATATGCAGCTCACAAACAACTTACAAAGTATAAGGCAGCTCATGGAACACTAAGGGAAGCTTGATTCAGCTGGAGGAGCTTAAGGCTAGCTAAACTTAGCTAGTTGGACTATTTGGAGCTGAGTTGCCAAAAGTGATGTCAAAGGTAGCTGAATGTAGCTGAACATAATGTTAAGGAGCTCACAAGGACTTAGCTAGGAAGCTTGTTCAGAAACAGCCCATGTTTGTTAGCTAGCTCCACAACTCAAGCTAGCTTGAAGGAGACACATGCACGCCCAAGAGAGAGAGCACATGACCAGCCATCATTCCATGCACAAGGCTTCCTAGAACACCCATGTGCCTTGCATATGACCAGCCCCCATGCGCCTTGTATGTGGATCATTTAGGCACCAAGATGAAGAGTTCTCTCCCTATTCGGCCAACCCATGTGTTTTGCATGTGATCAGCCCCATGTGCCTTGCATGTGGTTCATTTAGGAGCCAAGATGAAGAGTTCTCTCTCTATTCGGCCAACCATCAACTACCATCCAAATTGGCGCCAACATGAAGTGACACAAGAACTATTCGGCCAAGGGTTA